GTCCATAGACTGCCTCGTAAGAGATCTTTCAAAACAAAAATACATCTAGACACCTTGTAGCCAAAGTGTAGAATGTCAAGGATAAAAAGGAAATTCTAAAAGCCAACAGGAGAAAAGATAGCTTATCTACAAAGGTCCAATAATTGAATTGACAGTTAGCTTCTCATCAGCAACAACAGATGCCAAGACACTGGAATGGTAACTTCAGAATGCTAAGAGCAAATAATTGTGGACCTAGAATTCCATACATTGCCAAACCTTCATTTAAATACAAAGCAAAATAAAGACATTTGACACATACAAGATTTTAGAAAGCTTCTGTTCCACAGACCTTCACTGTAAGAGAGAGGCACAGTGGCTTGGGAGAGGGACAGGGAGCTGGAGAGGTGATGGGGCTTAGTGGAGGGCCAGGGCTGCAGGGGTTGGGGGAAGCTAGGTTCTGTTTCGGACCTCCCCTCAGCACCAGCCAGCCAGAGGAGCCCAGCCCAGCCTGGCCCACCTGGAGCTCAGCTCAGGTTCTCCCCTCAAGTGCCAGCCTTGCTGTCCCCTATCCTCTCTTCCTGGGCTGAGGTAGTGTCCCAGCATACAAGCTAGGGGGTAACGCTGCCAGCCCGACTCAGAGGGCCTTGAGGAGGATGCACTCAAGTTGCTCATGTGACCAAGCACTTGACCTCAACTGTAGAGCCCTCTCCACCTGGGAGGTCAGATGCCACCCCACAGAGGCCTATGGATAGCTGGAGAGGTAGGACAAAGGCTAGGTCCCTACCCAGGAGTTGGGGGTGAGGGCTCTCATTCTCTGTAAGAAAGAGAATCATAAGCAGCGGGGACAAGACCAATGGGGCTGAACTGGTGGGGACAGAAGGTTTCTTAGAGCATACGACCCTACTTAATCAGCTGGTGCCCTTGGGTTATTACTTAACTTCTTTGAGCCTCAGTTTCTCATTTACAAAATGGAGAGATTACCTACCTAATGAGGATGCAAAGATGAAATGGGATAATCTGCCCTAACAGGTTTGGCTCAGTGGATAGAGCCTCGGCCTTCGGACTGAAGGGTCCCAGGTTCGATTCCAGTCAAGGGCATGTACCTTGGTTGCAGGCACATCCCCAGTAGGGGGCGTGCAGGAGGCGGCTGATCGATGTTTCTCTCTCATCGATGTTTCTAACTCTCTATCCCTCTCCTTTCCTCTCTGTAAAAAATCAATAAAATATATTTTTTTAAAAAGTAACACTTAAAAAAAAAGAAATGGGATAATCCACTTAGGTACCAAGTTTTAGATATATTTCCCTTCACAGAAATTTATTTTTAAAAAATTCTCCATTTAATACCCCTGTAGCATTTTATCAGTGCTCAATAAAAAATTAAGAAGAAAAAAGCAACAGTGAGAGCAGAGGTGGGATATGTGCAGTGTTGAAGGCCGTCTGTGAGGAAGGGTTCATGTTCATTTACTTACTCATCAGTTGCTGTTATTCTTTTGGTGTCAAGCCCTATCCTACATGGGCTCGGAAGGCAGAGATGACCTTGAAGTGGAGGAGAACCATAGGTAAGGAAGAGCCCAAACTAGAAAATTCTAATAGAGTGACAGGGGGTCTCTTCAGGGCCTAATTTGTATTTTTTGTCTATCTCTTCCATTTCCTCTCCCACCTCTGCCTCCAACCCAACATAAGCTCCATGACAGCATAATCCTCGCCTGGCTTGTTTTCATCTGTCTTCACAATGTCCAAAACAGTGTCTGACACACAGAAAGTGCCAAAGAAATACTTGCTGAATGACTGTATTTGAGCACTAATAATAGAGACTGTACAAGTTGCTATGGGAGCATCGAAGAGGTCTTTGCTAACTCCACTCCAGGAATTAGAGGTTTCTCAGCAAGGCCCATTAAATCGGGCCTTGATGGATGTATAGGAGATCAATAAGTGGAAAAGGACATTCCAGGCATTGGGGCCAGTACATTCTGAAAACATGGTAGTAAGTTCAGGGGCCAACGAGTAATTGAATGTGGCAGGAGCACACAGTGCAGGAAAGGGGAGTGGAAAGACACCAAACTGGGGACTTATGGCCTTGAATGAACTTAAGCTGTTGGAAAGTCCTTATTAAAATCTAACCACCTACCCTGATGTAATATTCTGGAAAGGGTAGTTTTCCAACCCTCACTGTTGCCCTAGTTGTACCTCCCTTCAAAAGTTAAGGGTCTTCCCAGGAAGGGGCCAAGGATCGAGTACCCATTGAGAAAAGGGGCAGTCATACTCCATAGTTCCTAGTCTTGTCTCAAGTTGAATGAGGGTGAGACAAGGCATCTCCCAGAAACTTGGGTGAGTACTACATGCTGCCCCCTTGTGGCATCAGCAGAATTGAGCAGCAAGGAAGCCAGCCAGGTGGTTTGTTGGTAATCCCAGGGGCCTCCAGTCTCCTGCATCCGTCTCCAGGAAAATTATCCCAACCACCAGCTGTCCACAGATCAGATCCAATTGCTTCCTTTATTCCCCCACATACACTCAAGGCTGGGCCAATGGGTTTGAGGAAGCTGAGCAAAAGGAGTCAGTTCACATTTAGTAAAGCCTTGTTCACACACACACACACACACACACACACACACACACACATCTTTGGCCAGAAAGCAGCTGTGTATACACAGATCAGGAGACCAATGTTTTGGTTTCAGGTCCACCCCTATTCATGGAGTGACCTTGGGAAAGTCACTGCACTTCGATGTGTCTCCCATGTCTCCATCTGCAACACAGGGATCACAATCCCTCTTCCTGTCTCCCCTGCAGGGTCATTGTGAAGATCATCAGGAGGACAAAAGCTGCAAGTGCTAGGAAAAATGTTCGAAGAGTGCTCCGGATGTAAGGGGATCGTGCTGGGTATTAGATAGGGGCTGTCTTGGGCTGCACTGAAGTGTTTGTTTACACCCAGACGGGCCCTGCTGGCGGGGGAAAATTTAAAGGGAACGTGCTCAGCAAGGAAGCTGCTTGCCAATCACAACTGATCGAAACCTCCAAGAATGGAAATCTATGGAGAAATGGGGACCCATTGACTGGCCTATGTTTCCAATTATGCTTGGATTTTCAGAACGAGTCAAAGAGCAGCAAGGTGGGTCGGTTCAGTGGCCTCAATGTGGTGGATTAGCCAGGAAATGAAAACAGCTGAGCTTTTCTCTGAGGCCAGGGCCCCTTGTGTGCACTTGACTTCATCCTCCCTCTGGCACAGGGTCCTCAAACTACGGCCCGCGGGCCACATGCGGCCCGCCGAAAACATTTATCCGGCCCACCGGGTGTTTTTGCCGCCGCTGTGTGCATAGGAATTTGTTCATAGTTGTTTTTTTTTAAACCATAGTCCGGCCCTCCAACGGTCTGAGGGACAGTGAACTGGCCCCCTGTTTAAAAAGTTTGAGGACCCCTGTGAGTCTGGCACTTTCTCCACGTGGGGCTGGGCACCCAGCTATCAAGGAATATTTGCATGTTTGGATACAGCACAGTGGGAAGGCCATGAACCCTTGAGAGAAAAGTTGAGATAGAATGAAGATAACTAGAAAAAGAGGAGGGGCACTGAACTTGAGAGCCTGTGGAGCTGCCGGAGGCTTCTTATGGAGGAAGACTTACTGCCTTCTCATGGTGATAGAATCTGCTTCCCCTACTCTGATGACACTGGAGGTACCCCATGTATTCCAGCCCTTAAAACTAGTAAAATACTTGCTTTTATAAAATAATGTCATTTTCCTTCCTTTTATGGTGTGACTTTTTTTTTTTTTTCAGAGAGGGATAGAAACATCAATGATGAGAATCATTGATTGGCTGCCTCCTGCATGCCCTCCTACTGGGGATTAAGCCTACAACCCAGACATGTGCCCTTGACCAGAATCAAACCCAGGACCCTTCAGTCTGCAGGCCAATGCTCTATCCACTGAGCAAACCGGCTAGGGCTGGTGTGACTCTTACCTGGTTCTGGCTCTTTTTGCTTTGGTGGCCCAGAAGCCCAGGATGAAGTGTGAAACCTAATTCTAACAACCAGGTAGATCTTTACAGCCAGACTATTTGTTTTCTATGATCCATTTCCTACTCAATTATATTCTTCCTAATTCTGATCTGTAATATTTTATTTCATTGTGTATGTTTTCATTGCAAGCCATCCAAATTTGTATGTGTGGAATAAGGTGAAGTACTCTTCGGTCAATGATTGAAAATAAAAGATGACACAGATGTCCAGGTTGACAGCAGATATTTGGTGAGGAATTGTAAGGACATCAGGGTCAGACTTAAAATCATCTAATATTAAAGACTCTTCCCCATCCCCATCTCACACCTTGAGACAGTCCCAAAGGGAAGGGAGTTGCCCAAGTTTTTAAGGCATATTACTGTCAGAGAAGAAATTGATACCTACTTTTCCTGGCAATCAGTTCTCTGATCTTCCCAGACAATGGGCCTCATTGGATGGCATGGTGAAGGTAAGGAAGACAGCTCCCCATTGGCCAGTATGGTCAATGAAGTAGAATGCTCTTTTTATTCCTGTTTCAATTAACAGAATATAGGCCCTGGCTGTAGACCTCTTGTGACCTGCTGGTTGACAGGGGCTTAGGCTGCCCTCCACGGCAGATGCTACTGGGTATGCCCACAGCAGGCAACTCAAAGTGCCAGCCCATGCCAAGACAGGAGAGGAGAGATTTATCTGGGTCCTACTTTGAAGAATGGAGCTTTCTCATTGAAAGATGTTCTCTTTTGACCCTCAACCAAACAGGACACAACTGAATCTGGCCCATGGTGGTAGCCCAGGACGTAAGGTGGGCAGGGGCCTCTCAGGAGCAAATAGATCCTGCTGAAGTTTACCTTTAAAATTAGCTGAAGACCTCAGTTTGAATTAGATGTGTAGTGTAAGTTTCCCTTAGCTTTTTTTCAAAAGGGTCCCCCCTCATTCACAGACACCCAACCTGAAGGCAAACAAACCTTTCCAAGCCTTTCCCAAGCCAAGTGGCCCTATGAATGCTGCCAAATACAGAACTCAAGACTTTTAATTGTCTAAAATGAGGTTTATTTCATGTCATGCATTGATGTCCATGCAGCAAAGGAGACTAGCACAATTCTTAATGCATTTAAAAAATAAAAATGTGTGTATGGAGGTAAATGCACAAAGTTCTAGTCTCCTTGGGTCCCTGGGAGATTAGGGTCTGGGAATGAAACCATCCACTCTCCTCTCCATGGCGAATGAGTTCATCTCTTAAATGCAAGGATGTTCCCATGGCCTCTGGATGCAGGTGCACAGAGCTCCAGGGCAGGAGCAGGGACAAGGAGAGAAGACCACTAATGAAAAAGAAGCTACACGCAGTCACCTAATTTAATCAGAGGAGAGAAAAGATGGAAAATCCTGGGGGCAGCGGCTGTTCCAAGAGTCAGGAGATAACATACACCCGTTAGGAGATTTGCTCCTAAAAAGAAGTGGAAGTAAAACCCCAAAAAAGAAAAACAAAAGAAATATATCTTCAACCACACTCTTCAAGAAAATGCCATAAATATGTTATTTAATATTTTCATTTCATAGCATTGGACACACAGCTCAACATATTGAAATATTGATTCCTCGGTGAAAAAAAAAAAGAAAAAAAGGAAATAAAAAATATTGCATTTTTCTGTTGGAGAATCTCGGCCCCCAGGTGTGGGGTGAAGTGCACCAATGTCCTAGCCTGCAGGAGGCGCTGAGGTCGGCGGGGTCCTCTGGGGAGGGACGCTGTGCCCACTGCCTGGGGCTGTATGGCAAAAATTGTGTTGGGTGTCCTTGGCCTTGCCAGCTCAGGCCCTCAGTCTCCGGTCACCTGGGGGGCCTGCCCGTCGGAGGGCTGGTTAGCTGACTGGATGAACATGGGCTGGGCGAGGTCCTGGCCCGCAGGCATGGTGACTTGCTGGATCTGGTAGAGCTGCTGCGAGGGGTGGAGAGGAGAGAGTGAGGTCACCCCTGGGAGAGGGGCATGCAGCTCCCTATGGGCCTCGAGTTGGTTCGGGGCCCCAGATACTTCAACCACCACCCACTGCAAGGCGTCAGAGGGAGGAGGGGATGTGGAGCTCTGCTGGGGTTGGGAGCAGCAGACACAGGAGGCACCAGCACGGTGTGAGGGGGTGTGTGTAGTGGGCGGGGAAGAGGTGCAGGGAGTTGCATTTCCTGTGGCTTTCACTTCTCTGGGCTCTGCCTCTCCCGTTAGCTCAGAGCCTGGAGCTTGCTGCACGCTGTTCCTCTGTGACAAACACAAGCAATTCGAACCACTGTACCAGCAGCTTGGAAGTCAGCATTTCCCCAATTCTCAGTAATCCTCACTGGCAGAGGCAATAGGATTACCCCCTCTTCCTCCTTTCCTCAGAATATCTGACTACACTGAACCTGCACTTCCTACATGGGCCCTGCTGAGGAGGTCACCTGGAATTAAACACTTCCTACAGCCAAGACCCGTGAGGGGTGAAGCAGATGCTCACATAGCCGCTTTGGGAAGTTAGTGCCAACTGATCATTTGGTTTCTCAGGTGTCCCCCCAAAAAACCAGCCAAAACCCCTGCCACAGGAGCCCTGGCATGTGAACCTAGCGCCTGGTGCTGGCAGGAACCAGAGGAGGATGATGCAGCTCCTCTCCTCTGGGTAGCAGAGAATACAAGCTTGGGCACGTCATCCCATCATGTCCTCAGGGGTGACTGGGAGTATAGTCATAGTATGAGGGGATAGGCCGAGGGAAAAGTAAGATTCTTTCTTTGCACGGGTTTAGAATTACTGAATTCCAGGCACTGAGAGGTTGAGAGGTCCCATGTTCTCTGCATTTCAACTAACCCATACCATTAAAGAGCAGCAGAGAAAAACTAGCCCTAGAGAGGGAAACAAGACACCTGTGTTCTAGTCCTTGTTCTGCAATGAACAGCTGAGTGATCATGGACAAAGCATTTCCCATTTCTAGGACTCAGTTTACTCATCTGTAAAATGGGGATTTGGGCTATATAATGTCTATAATGCTAAAGGACAGGCACCCTGATTTAAAAACTGTACTTGTTTTAACAATTTCTGTCCCCTCATTGTTAACAGAAAATGGGACAGCTGCCCTAATCACCCAAACCCATAGATGTCATCCACTAGCCCTCACCCCCATTCCTCACCCTCTGCCCCTGCTTGGACTGGGGGTCCTACCTGTCCATCTGTGAACTGGCTGAACTGCTGCTGTCCTTGCTGGACCTCTGTCTGTGTGATCTGCAGGAATCAAGATAGCAGAGTAGGCAGGTCAGCTGCAGGGTCCGGCCACCAGCCCACCACCCAGGAGAGGGTCGTGAAGATCAAATGAGACAATACATATAAAGTGCCCAGAATAATGCCTGGCATAGAACAGGTGTTTGACGTGTAGCAGAAAAGCAAGGTCCCTCCCATCCCGTAGCCCTGAAGGCTACTTAGAGTTGGCACCATATAGAGCAGCGGTCACCAACCGGTGGTCCGCATGGTTGGCAACAGCTGATAAAGAGGACCTTGGAACACACGACATTATCAGTCACCTACTACCCCCTCATCAAGGTCTTTTTGGGGCTCAAATCAAACAAACACCTAGCTCATAAGTGCTGACATGAGAGAGCATAACATTTTCGGTTTAGTCAGAAACCCTAAGAGTCTTGCAGCCAGTGAAGACAATTTGCAAAACCCTGGGCAAAGTTGTGAGTGGTCCCTTTCATTCTTGGAAGGTGGGCTCCAAACCAAACCCGTATCACCCAGATTATCTGACTGGAATATGAAACACCCTGGCGAGCAGGTGGCCTTGGCCCTAGAAGCCCTTGTGGCAAACCTATAAAGTACTTTTTCCGATAGTGGCCACGTGCAGCCCTTTGGGCCAAGGATGGGGGCGGGGGCAAGGAAACATTTATCACGAGCACTTAAAATCTTAGGCGTGGATTTTAAAAGAAATGTACTGCCATGTAGGAATGCATCGTACAGTGCCAGCTGTTGGAGAGAAGACTGAAGCGTGCTTGTGTGCACAGTTGTGTCTGTGGAACATTTGACTAGTAATGTCTTCTGTGCACCATCTCTTGGAATCATTACAGCCAACCTGCACGGTAAGGACGGTCCTCTCAGGTGTCCTCACAACGGCCAAAAACAACCCATCAGGTCTAGGGGACACGTGTGAAAGAGCTTCATACTATTGTTCCTTGTTTTGGGTCTTTCTCCTCCTATCAGTCTATAAGCTGCTTGAGAGCAGGAGCGAAGTTTTGTCTTTGAATCTCCCAGTGCAAATAAATTATTCAAGAAATGTCTGCAGAATAAATGAATGACCCTGAGACAAATGGAAAATATTCCTCATAGATGAGATTAACTGTGCCATGGCCAGCAGTACTGCCCTTTATATCAAAGAAAGCTTCATTTATCTTTAAATTCCTTTTACACACTATTTATTCAGCATTCATTAAACGTACATTTACTGAGCACCTACCACGTGCCAATTGTCACAAGTACAATCTGTTGTTATATAGACTGTGACTGCCCTCAGGTGCTCTCTTCTTGTTTCTTCCCCTCCTCTCTGTAACCACCCCCGCCCCAAGTCAAGCTTTCTGGCTTTAGTTTCTGGCTCCAAAACTGATTATCTGGGAAACCAAGAACTCTTCCTTCTCATTTCCTCCCACCCCTAGGCCATAAAAAGTTTTTGGGATCCCAGGTTAGAATCTTACAAAAGTTTATGGGCATTTTTTGTTTTTTTAAAGTGGAGGGTGAGGTACCCAAGGGTGTGACCAGTTTTGAGCTGATTCCATGTCAGTGAACTCCAAGGAAATTAAGGAAAAGCCCAAGTTCCATGTGAGCCTTTAATGATCCCAGAGACTATATGGAATTCAGAAGCCTTACTTTTGGCTCATTCCTCACATTTTCCCAAATTAAATCTTTGGAGACCTGCTCTACAAACTCAGCTCTGTTACCACTGTCAATAGATACATCACCAGAAATGCAACTGGGCCAGACAGATCCAGCTCTTAAACGATCGCTGCTTTTTTTGGGTATGAGGCAAAAAAGAATCCATTAACAATGCCTCTCCTTGAGCAGCACCCCCACCCCCTGCAATGATGCCCACATTCCCCAACCCCCAAGCCCAGGGAGGCCCCCTCAGCACCTGTGGCTCACAGCCTCCAACATCCTAGGGCATGAGAGAAGAAAGGGGAGCAATCTCTGGCTAAGGGTGCCTGAGGAGGTGAGGATAAAATCTAAGGAAGCTTTCCAAAGGGCACAGGAGGGCCAGAACACAACAGCTATTCGGTTTTAAAGCTGCTAACAGCCTGACAAAGAGGCAATCTGTCAAAATATTCTGGTGAGACCTGCATACAGGTACATCAGGCTTTCTTCAAGTATACTTGAGACTTCCCTGCCTTGCACTTCAGAACAAGATGTTAAGAGACACACTTTGAATGCAATTCTCCATGAAACCCCACCGTGGAGGTAGAATAGATATGCAGGTATGGAGGTGGCTCTTGCTGAGGAATAAGGTGGAAGGGAGAATAATAAGGAAGCCAGCTCCTGCTGGTCCCCAAGTCAAGCCCTGCATCCCTGGGACACATACCTGCTGAGCATTGGTGGCAAGCGTCTGGATCTGTCCCTGCACAACTTGGGTGCCTGATACAGGCTGGGCTAAGCGAATGTACTGTAGCTGGCCGGTGTTCAGCTGCACCTAGGGCAGGGCAGAGACAAACAGACCACAGGGGATTGAGTGCAACTTCAAACAGGCAAATTTTCCATGTGCCCTCCACTGAGCCCTCCAAAAAAGCATGCCCAGAAAAGTTCCTTTGTAATAGAGGTCAAAACAGCAAAACCATAACTTCCCTATCCTGCAAGTCACACACACAAAAGAGAATAGTTCCCTGAATGGACCTTGAAAAAACTCCCTGAGGATCTTGTCACATACATGAAAAAGCATGGCTGCACCCTCAACATTCATTGGCTCTTAGCTGTTTGCTCAGTTTATCTTAGGATTTTATCCCAAAGGCTGTCTAACATCATCAGAATGTTTATACCTTAAGTGTGGGCCTCTCTTTCCTCCAGCTCCACACTATTCCACCCAGTTCCCAGAATGGCTGATCTAATACTGTACTGAGCACAGCTCCAGTGTCTGCAGGAGCACAAAGCAGATGGCTGTCACTCCACACCACAGCCCTAGAACTGCCCAATTCCACGCTGCACATTTTGGAAGAAAAAGTTGGCCAGCTTTACTATCTCTGTCCCCAAGAGCCAGGACCAAAGGGAGTCTGAGGGACTTTTAGGATCCTTGGTGTTCAGCACTAGCTTCTGGCTAAACACCTCCCAAGGGGAAGCTGAATCAATAAACCTTTCACAGAAAACTCCATCATGGGAAACCAAACCTACAAAAATGCCCTCGGAGTCCCTCATGCTTAAGATTAAGTCTCAGATAATACAATAATACCACATACTGCATTTAATTGTGTGCTAAAAGCCTTAACTCAGGCTCTTAACGCTCCAGTGTACCATGAAAGTTTTAGTGCTTTGAATGTGCAGATGAAGAAAGGGCCAAGGTGGTTACAACACAAGAGGAGCTGAGGTTCAGCAGAGAAGTCAGCAGAGGAGGGCTGCAGACATTCACACTTGGGATTTGGGGCGCCCAGACATCACCTCCTTGGCTGCCAGCTGCCTTTGTTGTAAGGGTGAGCTTCTTGAGGCTAACAGGCTTCTGTCCTGGAATAAACACTCCCCTGCCTTCAAGAGCTAATATCACTGAAGGGAATTGTACTTCCACGAGGAAAATGCTGGTGGGCTGAAGTGGCACTCCTGTGTGCATTGTTAAATCAAACTGCTTCTCTGCAACTGCCAGCCTGGAAGAGGATTGGAACGACCCAGACAGACTAATTCTAAAGTTCTGGTAGATCATTCCAGAATTGTCTGCTTAAGGCAAGGAGGGCCACAAAATCTAAACCTGTAAGAATCTAATTCAAAAGGAGATAGGGCATGATATTGTGACCTGCAGTCATTTATTTCCTGAGAATGTGCTGAGAGGAGCTGCTGGGAGGCTGTGATGCCAAGCCTCCCTTCCCCACCTCAATCCCTTGATGCAGCTTCCAGGCAACGATGTTAAGATGCTTATGGGGATAAAGGCAGCTGGGCGGAGGCTTAGGAGACCTCACTGCTGAGACTGACGGTGTCTGGTCCCAGGAGTCACAGAACTCCAGCCAAGGCGCACGGGATGAAAGACTAAAGCCTTGTCCCAGCAGTGGGGAAGGTATACTGACGGCCATAGGGATTTTCCATTTCCTGGCTGGGAAGAGCTCTTTGCAGAAACTCAAATGTGATTGGAAAGCTGTGCACCAACTAGTTCCAAGCAGCTCCTAGAAGCTAGAAGCTCTTCTTTTAAGTTTAGACATCTGATGATATACTTCAGTCCTATATCACAGGCTAAGTCTGGGGATACTCACAGCTTTTATATGTTAACTAAAGAGCAAGTAAGTCTACCCCTTGGGCTTTCAAAAGAGAAGCAGTTTCCTTCCTGAAGGTCATCACTACTGCAAGCATGCTGATGAGTTTAGAAATGCAAGCTCCTATCCGAGAACCATGAAGACAAGGTCCTGAATTCTACTCATCTGTGCTAAAGCTCTGTGAGCCAGAGGGCTAAAAACACTCAAGCCAGTTACTCTTCTCTGGCTTAAATGAACTTATCTTGGTGCCTCAACATGAATGAAAACCATTCGAGAGAGGTCTTCGGTTGGTGGCTGAAAAAGTGAGGCAAGAGAGAGAGAGAGAGAGAGAGTGTATGTGTATGACGAGAGAGAGAGAGAGAGAGAGAGAGAGAGAGAGAGAGAGAGAGAGAGAGAGAGAGAGAGAGGTACTCTGTTAACCTAATAAGAACAGTTTCAAAACCAGAGTTGAGGATACTTTTTGAGCTTTTTTTCAGAGAGAAAGTGGTTATTCAAGCCCAAGTGAATTTCCAGATTTGCCTACATTTCATTTATAATAGGAAGAACAAGGGGTAGGAAATAGAAGGACTGTTCCATGTCACTCACTTTCTACATTTTTTGGTGGCAAAATGACCAATGTATAAATGGCAAGTGTTGAGACAAGAACATTTTAAACAAAAGAACAAGTACAAGTAAAAAAGTCAACAAATCTAAGAAATGAAATCCCTCAAGGCACACAGGAAGCAGTAGTCCACATTGAAGGAATGGATAAGTTAAATGAAAGCCAAAAATATACTTTGCTGCAGGCTCCAGTGGGAACTGACTCATGAATATGCAACAAGTGTATTTATGGTCTTCCCTATACACCTCCCTCTTATTCTTTGCTAATCAAAAGACAGGACTGTCTCACAGGGCCTTTGGGCCTTGGCATAGAATGGTGGTTACAATGACTTCTCTATGTAGGTGGAGTGAGGGGAAATTAAGAGGAGCTGCCGCACAGTGGTGAACTTTAACATGGGTTAAAGGAAAGCAGTGAGCACACAGTGAAGCAAGTTGTGGTCTAGGGCAGTGATGGCGAACCTATGACATGCGTGTCAGAGGTGACACGCAAACTCATTATTTTGGTTGATTTTTCTTTGTTAAATGGCATTTAAATATATAAAATAAATATCAAAAATATAAGTCTTTGTTTTACTATGGTTGCAAATATCAAAAAATTTCTATATGTGACACGGCACCAGAGTTAAGTTAGGGTTTTTCAAAATGCTGACATGCTGAGCTCAAAAGGTTCGCCATCACTGGTCTAGGGTAACAGGAATATAGGTTTAAAAATGTTTATACACACACACACACACACACATTTTTTTTGGTCTGTGTGTATATACAGATATAAAATCTTTAAGTATCTCTGTTATTATGTTGAAGAGTGCCATGCAGACCTGAGGCAAGGCAGGGCTTACCGGGATCTGCTGGATCTCTCCTGTGTTTGTGATGATCTGCTGCATCACCTGCATGGTCTGTCCAGTGCTGCTCTGGGCCTGCTGGGCTTGACCCTGTGGCTGGGCCTGGACAATCTGCACCTGCTGACCTTCTCCAACCTGCATGGTCACTGGTGTGCTCTGGAAAGAGTCATGAGAAAGCTGATTGAGTCTGGCTCAGAGTCAGTAGGCTTACAAAGGGGTTAATAACCAAGAGGTTAACTAGGAGCAAATCCTCTCCATGAATGCCTGGAGTCATGTTAACACCAAATAATACTCAACCTAGAGTCCTTTGGGTTTAGAGCACTGTGAAAGTTACTCACCAAAATAAAAGATGAAAAAAACCAAAGAGATTTATTTTTAGGCTCATAGTACACAATATTTGCCTGAGCCCCAAACATCTCTATGCTTCAAATGCTGCAACTTTTCACAGCCACTTCGATGACAGTAAGGCACATATGGTACAAAAGAATCAAAATCAACCACGACAGTTCACTTGAGAAATAGCCAAGTCAAGTCTAGAACAGGTGAATTTGGAGGGCAAACTAAATGGAAAGTGGGGTCAGTATGAATTATGAATTTACTAAATTTGGGATCCTGGGCTGCTTCTTAGGCCTGCAAGACATTGGGAGGGAAATAAAGTGCACACTGGTTTTCACCCCATTTAAGCAGCAGAGCGACCCCAGCCCGCAGCGGCCAACTGGCTGCTCTGGATCATAGCACAGCTGCCTATGGGAGAGTGAACAGGTAAATGCACTGGACACCAAATATTGAATACCTGGATCTTAACTGGAGGGTGGGGAAGACAGACAGAAGGACCTGTGTAAAAATGCATGCAGTTGGCTAGGACAACAGGAAACATCTCCTGTTCTCACACTGCAATTTTCAACTCAGCCTATTCCCCAAGCCTCCAGGAATAAAAGTTTCCAATTTTATGACAGAAAATAGAGGATTCGCTTTACCAAAATATGCCTTCCTTCGACTTTAGTATGTATTCTGTTCTGCAAAGGTTATCTGCACTCAACCTGAAATAGCCATTACTACAGAGGTCCTGGGGTGTGTCACACAACACAAGGCCACCCTGAACCAGTAACACAGTGAAACAATAGCTGGAAGATGCTGGGAGGAACCAACTTTACCATCCTCACAAGCCTTATCAGCTCCAGGCTGAGCAAGTCCAGGGTGGCAGAAAAGAGGATACATGAAATTCTCGCTGACTAAAAAAAAATGCATACTGCCAACTCATCACTGTACTCTATCAACTCAATTTTCCTGAGAGGATTTCCAAAGTATTTCTAAATCATTTCAGAAAAATGAGGGCTTGTGTTAGCATAGCAGCTGTCAAATCATGTATGGTGTGCCCTGCTGTTGGGGCACAACAACTATGAGCTTCTTAGGATGATCAGCCAATAACAGCCAGCCATTAGCAGACTCCCTTGAAGTTCTCTCTATAAAGGGATAAAGCCTTTGGCAGGCAAACCTCTCACCACTGCAGACGCACAAGCAAGAGCTAAAGAAGGTCCCTTAGGCATCACAGTGCAGTGAACTCCTTAAGGCAGGGATTGAGCTCCAATCATCTTTGAACCCCTCCTGCTAGCATGGTGTCTGGTAAAGACAAGCATTCAATAAATTTGTTATATGGATAAAAAAAAACAAGCAGGGAATACGTCCTAAAATCACAATTATATTTAAATCTACTGCCACTTTCATTTTTTTTCTTCTAGGCAAACCCAGCTCCTCACTAGAACACACAAGGCCGTCTAGAATGTGTCCTCCACCTGTCTTTTCAGTCTTGCTAGATGTTCCCTGTGCTGCAGCCTTTCCCCACTGCCTTGTGCTATTTCTCAACTCCAAGCCTTTGCTTGTGCCGAGCCCTGTACTGGGAAGTCCCTCCTTGTCTATTTTGATTCATTTCCATTATTCTCTCCAAAACTCATATTATTCCCTTAAAGGAACCTACTCTGACATCCTCTTCTACCACCCCCTCACATCTTTGTTAGGTACCCCTTTTGATGCATTCCCATAATACCCTCTACACATCCTAAGAATATTTTACACTTTCCACATGGTGGTATAATCTTTAATTATTTGTAGCCCCAACTAGATTGTGAATTCTTAAATATAGGGACTGTTTGACTCATGCTTGTGTCCCCAACACATGGCATAGGACTTTACCTACAGAGGATGACCAATGTTTGATGAATAAATAAACTGATGACTGACAGGGAGTTTGGATTCAGAGCTCTGAGAACAGAGTTCTCTGTAGCCTCTAATGATTCCCAACAAATGTGCATAATGCTGCTCTCACAATTGTATTGGGGAGAGAGAGAATATTCTGATTACTATTGTAAAAAGAGAAGGACACTTTACTTAAATACAGTAGGACAGAGAAATGATGGGGAGAAGGGGAGAGAGGTATGCATGCCTGACCTCTCCCTTAAGGACACAATCCAATTCTGGTGTGGACACTCAGACAGCAGGCATGGAGTCCACTTAAAACACCTTCTACAGAGATGCCACTACTCTTCATGGGGGTGTCATACAGTTTTTCCTTCCAAAACTTTTTAGCTCATAAGGATCCTGAAGAATATCTTGTCCACTACACTTTCCTCATTTGACCCATAAGAGATTAGGGTGACATGTCACCTCAATGGCTGAGTCTGGGGAGAGCCCAGGTTTCCAGACTTCAAATCCAGTGCTCTATGATGCTCTGAGTACCTGTCTTGCCCTGGTCAAGCTTTCACCATCCCAAACCTAAGAAGTACTATCTTGCTGGGCAGGCACCCCCTGCAGCTCACAGACCTGACCCTGCTGAGGCTGCGCAATGATGATCTGCCCGGGCTGGATAGTGGTTGTGGAGCTGGTGGTCTGCTGGCCTTGCTGCTGCCCCTGGACTTGGACGGCGGTGGGCTGCTGAGCCAGCGTGAAGTAGTACTGGACAGGCTCGGCAGGAGTCACAGACTGGCGCACCTCCTCCTGTGGGGTAGAAGGAGAGGCAGGTAAGAGGAAAAGAACCGACTCAGCAGCCGCCAGAGTGAATTTCCATTCTTCCCCCAAACGGGCTCTGTGCCGTTGCCTGCTGAATGCTGAGCTCTCCACATTTGAAGCCAAGGGAAACTGGAATTCGAAGAGACCAGTTGTGTTACATCAAACTAAAAATAACAGATTCCATAGGTTTCACCAAACTTACAGCCAGTTTTCTGAAGTAGAGTTAGCACCCATTGCATGATAAGTTGCAAATGGGCAAATAACTACTGCCACTAAAAGCCACGCACTAGCAGTGCTTGTGAGTAAATGCTGTCGAGGCCTGTGATCTGAGGACAGTGCTAACTGTGAGCACTGGAAGATGCTACCCAAACGTCAGGCTCTCAGGCCAGTTCCCAATCTCCCAAACAGGCAGTACTCTCCTTATTTTGTTCCCACCATCTCAGGAGGGACAGAGCAGGGGAAAAGGACATAGGGCTTTTCCTGGGTTGAAATTTCAGAATCAAATGTTAGGATCGAGAGCATCAGTAGGCAAGTGCTTAGCTTTTCACAGTACGTTGAGAGCTCAGTGGTCACCGAGGGCCACATCTATCCAGTGTCACATCTGCTTCTGGTTGTACTTAGCCACAGAAGAGCAACCCAGGGGGCCTGAGGGACAGCTCTCCGCTGGGTGCTGCCTTGGCTGACTAGGGAGGTCGCATTCTGTCCGATCTGCTGGGTGAAGAGACTGTTCCTTCTTCAGCTGACGTTTTCCATGGCAGAAGGAGTAAACAACCCTCTCCCAGCCACCTTGAGCTCACAGCTGAGAGTGTAGGATGTTTACACACACTACGGCATGGTTATAGCCTGAGGGTCCAGGGTTGGTCGGCCCCTGACCATTGACAGAGATCGGCATCTGCTCCAGAGGACCCTGTGGCACACGGTGCCCCTGCCTGGGACAACAAAAACAACAGAAACATACAACTTGGGCTGGCTGAGCAAAAAATTAACTAGATTTACTCACTCCCTTGTTCTAGGCTAAGTTTGCCACGTTCAAGATAAGAGGAAAAGACAATTCTGCAAGGTATAGAGACCCTGTGGACTACCTCAAAGCTCCCCAAAGTGACATTTACATAGTTGGCATTGACCCCATCATCCCCTCATTAGGTCAGGCGCTCTAGTCTGGGTTTCCAGTCCTTTGCTCACTGAACTTTTTTGTCCTTGCTTGTCAAATTAACTACTTTCCCATGAGGGCAAAGCCTAGCTCTCTCTTGCTCTCCACTGTCCCCACTATTCATTCCCTTGTAGGCACCTAATAAGCACTTGCTGAATGAGAATGGATTTATAGAGCCAGGCAGACAGAGATAAGAAAATACAGGCACACCATGTATTATTGCACTTGGCTTTATTGCACTTCCCAGGTGTTGATTTTTTTTTTTTTTTTACAAACTGAAGGCAAGACCCTCCATCAGCAAAAAAGGTTACAACTCACTTTATTGATAAACTTGCTTATTACAGTGGTCTGTAACAAACCAGCAGTAGCTCCGAGGATGCCTGTACTTGCTTTATTGTGGTGGTCTTGAACTGAACCCACAATATCTCTGAGGTATTGCTGTACCTTTTTTTAAAACCCAAGTTGGTAGTAGAATAAATTTTCTTGAATATAACAGCTGTTACCAATAGAAGAGACCCTAAACTCTCTTTGCTACCTCTAGGATTTTGTAGTCTAGTGTGGGGAGAAATCCATGTTCCCTGTAGAACAGGGCTGGGCATTATTTTGCTTGCCTGGTGACTGGGGGGCCCAGGATAGTAAAACTAGGACTGCTGATATAAAGCCTATGAGACATGCGGGTCTCTGCATGACCAGATTCCCTGATGGCCATCCACTCAGCCTAGGCAGACACTTGTGACATGCTGGGTTTCTGAGCTAGTCCTCGAACATGAACCAACTTTTTAGGTTAATGTATTCTATGCTTCAGACCCAAACCATTTGAACACTGAATGTGATCATTCTGAGGCAGAAGAAAGAGGGGGCCCCCTTTTATTTTCAGCTAGGTCTGTTTCCAGAACAACTTAACTGTGACAATGTCACCTCCATTTCAACTCCAACTTCTATTATAAATTAAGGTCATCTTGTCAACTAGACCTTGGCTGTGGCAGGGATAAACTGATGTCCTCCTTAGCCATGAAACTGATCTTTTTCAAAGCTCTTGAAATGAGTTCAATGTATTCATTTTCCATTGAGATTTCCCTTCCTACTTTATAAAAAACATTAATCACTAAAGTTCAAACCTAACTTGAAAAAGCTCTTGGGTGATAAGAAGGAATACAGGACCAAAAGCCCCCCAGAACAAACTTGCAGGAAGTGAGAAGGCAGGCAGACACTGGCATTTCCTAGCCCTGACCTGTGATGGTTCTGTATCCAGTTATCCCTGACTGTAGCTGATCTACAAATGAATATGGTCTTTTCACCAGACAAAAAGCAAACCCTTTAAATATCCCTTTCAGAAGCCAAAAGCTGGGAGAGCAGGTGAAGAGCTTCTCCTGTGCTGCCTACTGTAGCCTCCTAACTTGTTTATGAACCAGGCAGGGTCTAGGACATTCCATCAAGTCAGTTTGCGCTGTGAGGAGGGCATGACTGTTCTCAATTCACTGGAATGGAAGGAGGCATATATAAGGTTTTCAGCATTTATGAAGACTCATTCAGCCAATGGAGGTCAAGCTAGCAGGGGAATGATTATGCTTGGTTTAAAGAGATGGGTGAAGAGAAATGATATTTCAATGGGCAGGAACTTTCAACTCATAGCTTTAGTGGGGTACAAGTCAAACCTCAACAACCTTCTACTTCCAAATAGTTTTTATTTGCTTTCCTGAAGAACAAGATAAATTCCCAAGCATCTCTGAGAGGTCAAGGACCTTAGATCCCAGCTCAGTATTTGTGGCTAGTTCCTTTCCCCAGTAGTGGAACATCATCCCAGATGCTAGAACAATCTCGGAATGAATGACTGGGTCAATCCAGAATGGGGTACTTGCCCAGCTCTAGCTGTGGCCTCCCCAAACAGAGGGTTTACTCTTGGGATGTGTTCAGAAGTGGAGACTAACAGCCAGAGAATGAGCAGCATCGCCTCCTAGGGCTACCAGCCACAGACTGGAAAAAAGTCCATTAGCTTCAGTAGCAAGAGCAAACTGCTGCCTCTTCAGAAAGGGTGAATTCTGGAGAGTAGGTGCTTTTACAGGACTTAAAAAGGTGTCAGCCAATTTGGAGATTGGGAAAACTTCATGTCTACAGAGGATTAATAGTGCTACCTGAGAATTTCAGGCCAGCTTCCAGTAATCTCAACCTTTCAAAGGCCAGGCAGCAGCTGTCCCATACAGGATGCCAATCAATGGCTTGAACACCTACAAAGAACTGAGTCTAGACAGCAAGGAGCTGTTTCAGCTAGACACACTTTAAAAAAGAGATGGATCACAGCATTTAGAGTCAAGATGGAACAAGGAGCTGTCTGATACCCTAAGAGAGCCAAGCACTGAGGACTTTGGAGGAAGGGACAGGACATGACCCTTCTCTCCAGCCAGTTGATTCAGCAGGCAGCCCACAGGAAACAAGCAGAAGTTAGCACAAGGAGCATGACCAAGGCCTGATTTTCTGACAGATCTCACCACTTCGTTTTTAAAGGGGGCTGCTCAAACAAATTCCAACACGGAGAGCATGTGTGTCATATCATTTTTTTTGAAGGAAGAGAAGTGGTCTGGGTTTCTGCAGTAGTGACTTCTCAGAGAGGAAGGAAGCCCACGGGCACTAACCTGCAATGTCTCAAAGGCGATGCGCAGCCAGGGACGACCGTGGCAGCCTGCCGCTGTAAACATCCGACTGAAAGCTCCTCTGAACACCTTACAGCTTCCAGTCAAGGATGTTTACAGTAGCAAAGACTGCCCAGAAAGAACGGAGACACAGTGAGGCTCCCTGTACTAGTAAGGGGGTAACAGAGGGCTTGCTAATCCAAAGGCTCCAGGCAGGGTCAGGATTACAAATGTCCTTTAAGATGACCACTTCTTTTATACCTTCTGACTGGTTATTAATAGAGACAGCATGAGAGTCACTGAATGACCCATTTCCAAAAATAATATACTATGAAATAATTCATTAAAACCACTTAAAATTTTGTTAAGAAAACAGAGCAAGCAGAACAAGGCACACCTTTGCTCCCACCAGACTCTGGTACTATTCCCCAAGTGTCTCAATTACACCTGGTGAGTCACGAAATGTGTGTGCCTGAACCAATGAGTTATAAAGCATAGGGGCCTATTAAAACTGCAATTAAGAGACTTATGCACCCAAGGTGCTGGAAAAAAAAAATCGGTGTGACCTTTGGAGAGGGGCAGGTAGAAGAGAGGGAAAGGCAGGCAGGCAGACATTCACATTCTTTCTAGTGATTGCTTAGAAAACAGTTTTAGCGGTGGTTCTCAAATCTGGTTGCACATTAAAAGCATCTGGGGAGCTTTAGAAAGTACTGATGCCTGGGCCTCCCCTCTCAGAGTCTGATTCAACTTGGTGTGGGGTGGAGCCTGGGCATTGGTATTTTTTAAAACCCTAGCAGGTGATTTAATATGTAACCAGAGCATTATATAGAGAACCACAATAAAGAGTAAGAGAAAACCAAAGTCCACTCACTCCAAACACTGTGCACATAGAGACGCTGTTTCTTGAAAATCTAAAATCTGTAACTCACTGGACATGTTCTCCCATCCCAGATTAAGAACTCTGATACAGAGTTCCTAGGATACCTTGAAATGAGCTTCACTTTTACTATTTATAACCAAAGTCTTTAATTTTATCTATTTTCACTGAAATACCACCTCAGCGGCACTGAGTTAAAAGTATCCATAAATGAGTAGCAGAAGGAGATGTTAAGGATGGATCTGGTCTAGAGAAGTAGCAAAAGAAATAGCAAATGGCTTGTGCTGAGAGAGGAAAAGGAGCATTATTAGACACCCATATGCAAGGTGCTTGGCAGCAGCAGCAGCAGCAATGCCTTCCCAGCTCACCTGACGCTTTGGAGGTTTCAATTCATCTCTTGGAACAATATCGATGAGAAAGTCAAACTGATCAAATTTTGTAATTGCCATGGCGATATCATTCCTCTGTAACAAAGAAAAGCGAGGTGAAAAATTAGCCTGGGGAGAAACTAGTTCACCCGGCTTTATAACCTCCAGGTTACAAGTAAGAGAAGATGATGACTTCTAAGCCAAACTAAGTACCCATGGCCAAGTCTATAGCTGAAATAAGCACAGCCAAATTCTTATAAACTTCAAATGATCAGACCTGCTGGAAAGATATCTACAAAGTCAACAAAAAAACCTACCTGTAGCTGTGCTCCACAAGCCGAATATTCGAGCCTCTAACTACTACTGCCTCTGCGAGATTCTGCCCCTAGGTCCTCTCCATGACTGTTAAAAAATGGTCCTCCAGCTAAAATTGTACAAATCTAGCAATCTCAGGTGGCAGGTTTCTGGTCATTATGTGGTTAGCAAGGTTAGGCAATCATTCAATTTTATAACCTTTTTAAGATTCTAAATAGTATTATGCCTCTTAGTTCAGAAGCAGTTAAAATCTATTTTGAATTTCCTGGCTGAAATTCTAATCCAATAACTTTTGCAATATTTTCTAGTTACTGATCTGTATCTTAATTTCCAAAATTTTTATTTTGGAATTCAAAATCGCAATGTTAATTAAATCCATGGTTTAAATCTTGTTTAATGTGATATAAATATTGGAAGTCTGAAGTTACTAGAACAGAGTCTCAGGTGGGCTGAGGACACAGGAGTCGGTTGACTAATGATTCTGAAACCCAAGCCTGCTCTGAAGGGGTTCTTTCTAAGAGTAACACTTCTTTCTTTAAATAATAAAATTAAAGGATTTTTATTTTTTTACTAAAAATCAACATACTAACAGTGTAAGACAATTTTAAAGAAAAAAAAACGGGAAAAGAGTGAACAATGATATGCATGTATTAAGGGAAAAGTAAACTTTGAAATTCATTTAAAAATAGATGATGATTTGATGGATAGAAGGATAGATATGGGGATAAAATAAGTAAACTTTTAATGGCAGGATCCAGGTGGTGAGTATACAGTTGTTCACTATAAACTTTGCTTATGTGTGAATGTTTTCATAATAAAATGTTGGGGTGAAGGAGAAGTCAACCTTCTAACCAAAATCCTTAGCAACCTCTACATATCACATCTTAAGAAAAGGTGACTCATCAGACAAAATAGGAGGGGATGGAAATTTTCTGTTTTTTCCTTCCCTTGTCTCTGTGATGGCCCAAAGCCACTGAAATGCAAAACTTCAGTCCTCCATTCTTGCCAACCATCAGCTTGATAATAAACCCATCCTACCGAAGCAGGGCACATTTTAAAGCTGCCAGGACTCATTTAAGATTAGCGCGATATAGTATCACATTCTTGATGATGTCACCTACTCAAAGCTATCTAAACGGCTCATCTAAGCATGAAATGAGAGGTGGGGTGAAAGAGAAAGAAATAATAATCACCTTCAAACAAACACTAATGTGTTCTACAGTATTTTGAAAACATAGATATACTTAAATCGGTCTTTTTAACATTGTAATTTTGTCTTTTTAAGTGCTAATATTTTACTGAATTATTATTCATATTCAGTAAGATACATAAATCTTAAGTACACAGCTGGATTAATTTTTATAAATATATACACCCAGGTAGCTATCATCTAGATAAGAATATAAAGTTCCCTTCCATCACTTTCCGGCCAATTACCATGCCCTCTCCTCCCAACCCCCCAATCTGAGGTAACCACAACTCTTATTTCTATCACTATGGACAGTACCTGGCACCATGTGCTATGTAATTCTTTTCTCTGCTTTCTTTTACTTAACATAATATTTTTGTGATTCATCCATGTTGCTGTATGGATCAAGTTTGTTTCTTTTATTGTTGAACAGCAATTCATTTCAAGAATATATCAATTTTTTTATATATTCCTATCTTGATTTTAGTCATTTAGTGGATATAAACTAGCATCTCACTGTGGTTTTACTTTGTATTTCCCAGATGACAAATGATGTTACGCACCTTTTCATATGCTTACTAGTCATTTGGAATCTTCTTTTTGGAAGGGCCTGTTCAAATGTTTTGCCCATTTAATTTTATCTTATTTTTTTTTAACTGATCTTGAAGGTAATTTCAATTGGCTCTTTAGATCTACAGACTTCCTTCAAGGCAGTCATAAACTAAGTTCTCAATGACTAGCTGCACTAGAATGTAGACTTCCCTGGGGTGGGGATTGTTATCTGTTTTGTGTATCCAGAGCCTAGAACAGTGCTCGGCACATTGTGGGTGATTAATAAATACCTGTAGAATAAATAAATAAATAAATAAATAAATAAATAAACAAACAAATACATTTTCAACTTTTGAGGTAAGAGGAAAAGAAGGAGAAGACATAATTTACACTCTTGGCTTTGTTGTTAAAATACTGTCACTCTCTTATATCTGTCACATCCTTACTCTATGTCTGAGAAATGTTTCTTCCAACAGCTAGGCCCTGGTGGTTGAGGGGAGAGCCTCTAGAGCAGTGGTTCTCAACCTTCTAGCCCTTTAAATACAGTTCCTCATGTTGTGACCCAACCATAAAATTATTTTTGTTGCCACTTCATAACTGTAATGTTGCTACTGTTATGAATCGTAATGTAAATATCTGATATGCAGGATGGTCTTAGGCGACCCCTGTGAAAGGGTCGTTCGACCGCCAAAGGGGTCGCGACCCACAGGTTGAGAACCGCTGCTCTAGAGCCAATGACCAAGAGGTCTTCATACAATATGAATGTTTGTTTGCTGGATTAAAATAAAAAGAGAACAAAAAAAGAAGAGGAAAAGGATTCTCAGGAAAGCAGATGAGGAAAAAGAGGCTAACGAGGTCAGTAAAACTGATTCTTCCTGGGACTGTCCTTTCAAGGCTTCTAACCAGAAGTTGTTTACATCTGGAAATAGATAAATATAAGTTTAGCCTCCCTCTGTTTATAGTGAGGACTCACCAAGTGAATAGTTCAGTCACTGAGTTGTGAAAACCATGGGAGAGCTGGAAATTAAAATTCTTGGTAGGGAAATACTATCATGGCTATAAGGTATGCCTGCCTCCCAACAGTAGAGGAAGATACCAATTACACTCAGCTTGTCAGAGGCCTAAGGAAAAACAATCTTTGGTCTAAGCCAGGTGTCCTCAAACTACGGCCCGCGGGCCACATGCAAATACAAATATTGTATTTGTTCCCGTTTTGTTTTTTTACTCCAAAATAAGATATGTGCAGTGTGCATAGGAATTTGTTCATAGTTTTTTTTTAAACTATAGTCCGGCCCTCCAACGGTCTGAGGGACAGTGAACTGGCTCCCTGTTTAAAAAGTTTGAGGACCCCTGGTCTAAGCCATGCAAGAGAAGCAGGCAGCTAGCTACTTGCCCAGCTTTCCCAATGTAGGTCTACAATATTACCTGTAGAGTCCGACGCTTGTTATCCTCTGTGTGGATCCAGGCTCGAAGAGTCAACTCTGTGATAAAAATCTGGGCTGCCTTGGCAAAAAGCACAGGGGCTTCTGCACTGATCATCTGTAACAGATGTACATCTGTCAATCACCAGTCATTCAAACCAGTTAATTTGCCCCTTATCTCATGTCCTGCCACTGGACTATGGGGCAAGTGTTGGAAAAGGAGAGGGTAGTAGTCTCAAGAGATCCCAAGATAAAATAAAACCACAAGTAGGAACAAAGCAGGTAGAAGAGGAAAAAAGAACACTTATCTAGCACCTACCATGCACTTTCTTACTCTCATAACAGCCTTGTAGAGAAGCTAGGTTTAAGAGAGGTGAAGTAACTTGCCCAGGGCCATAAAGTCAGTAAGTGATATAATCCAAGGAGAGACAATGTGGGGAAATAATGAGTCTGAGAGCCAATGGATTTAGGCAAAATCTCAGGCTTCCCATCCTTTCGGGCTTTATTTTTCACATACTGAAAAAGAGGATAACTTTCCAGTACTGTTGTGGGAATCAAATGAGAAGATATATGTACAAGCACCCAGCACAGGGCCTGGAACACAGTAAGTACTCAAGTAATATAAGCTCTTGGTCAAACAAGACTGGATCCTTGGTGAGGTGGTCTGTATAGGATATAGGCATTGGACGAGCTATGGAGTTAAGGAAGCAGATGAGTATTGGGATCTTGGTTCTCCTACTCTAGATAAGTCAGTTTTCTTTTTTTTTCTTTGTTTTGTCTATTTCTGTATCTAGAAAATTAAACTACTAATTCTTATCCTACCAAATCTCACAGGATTACTATGAGGAGGAATTGAGCTAATAGAAGGGAAAATTGCTGTGAACTGTTAGCTTTCTATACAAATACAAGAGACTATGCATTTTGAGTGGTAAGGAAGGAGCTGCTCTTTTTCTGAGAGAGTTGTAGTGGGTGGCAGACTCCTAAGAATACAGTAATGGTAAGAATACAGTAATGGTCTCCTCCAAGTAAACCCTCTCACAAGTATTATTCACAGATGCAATACTCACAGATACAATAGCATTATCAAACATTTTTTAGAGCTCAGATCAACAAATAGAGACTGTAATAAGATGCTAAGAAGATGGCACTGTCCTGATGATTTGATGGTACATGTTTACACTACATGCTGAAAAGAACTGGGTGTTTCAAAAAGCACTCAGTATCTTTTCAACATCGAGAAAACAGGACACCCCTAATTTTTAGAGAAGCATCATATAATAATTAAAATTGTTCAATTTCAGCTCACTTAACAATTTTACGAGAAACTAAATAAAAAAGCAACAGGCAATATTTTCATTTTTATTTAATTAAATTTGAGCTCTAGAGAAATGAGCAATAACCCACCCATCATTTTAGCTTCAATATAAATAAAAAGGAACGTAAATTCACCTTCACATCTTCATCCAGTTTCATAATCTTCTTAATACGAGCCAATGGCAGTTCCTGTACTCGGAAATCTTTCTGAAATGAGTAACAAAAGGTGCATAAATGGTGGGGACAATCAATAGGGCAAGACAGGCATCAGGAAGCACACTGATTGGCTTAGTCCCTCCTTTTAGAAAATATGGCAGGACAGAAGGTACAGATAAAATGAAGAAAATACAAGCTCCTAGCAAAATTCTTAACCCATGTAGAGCTTTAAACAATTAAAGGGTTTCAGGATAAACTTATGATGGCTTTTAGCAGATTCAAATGTGATTTTTGCCTCAGGAGCAAAAATTCATTCCTCTAAGTTGCCAGTTTTTTCTTCTACTTGGGGATTGCAAGTGCCAGCATTACCTGACCACAGTGACCCACAGTTCTCTTCTTCTGACCTTTGCTCTAACCTGACACCAGAAATTAGGGAGGAACTCCCTAAGGGCTTGTTTCCAAAATTAGCTTAGGGGGGTGGGGGTGGGTTAGAAGATTATGGAAGAGGGGTGAGGGTAAATTTATCAGCTGGCTTTTTGGAATAGCCCTGGCACTTTTTTTCTTAAAAAACAAGACTGGGCTGGAGAAAACCACATCAACTTTACTGTGGATAGGATTTAGGAAAGAGCTTTTTGATCAGCACTACTCAATTATTTGTGATTAAGCGCTTTTTTGTTTTATTTTGATACTACTGGTATTTCAAAGCATGCTCAATGATGAATGCAATTCTAGAATTAAAAATCAATTCTGGGTTTCAGAGCTGCAATGAAGAAAAAGGTGCAAAGGCGGAGATTAGCTAAAATCAGCAAAATCCCTGCTGAGACTAGGTGTCAAATGATTGATTCTGTAAGTGTTCTGAAATGTGACTCACACCAAATCCAATATGTTCACATGGGACTTTGCATCATCACATTATAGAAAGAGCAGCTACTATTTGAGATTTGGTATAATTAACAACAACAAAAAAGTAAACTTTCTTTTCCAAGACCAACAGCAAACCTCAACTAAATGTTAAAGAAGGGGGTACTAGTGAAAAACATAAACAGCCTTCCCAGAACCCATTTTATAATTACAGAAGGGAAGAACAACAATTAGGATAAAATGCACACCAAGACATCTAATTTCCCCACACAAACTCAACAAGCTACTTGGCTACTGGCTACCACTCACCTCTACAAACTTCCAACACCAATTTTTCATCTTTTCATTTTCCAAAGTAGGTGTCAATATTTTCCATGAAGCCTCTACTAAAACTAACCCTGGAGTGGCAGATGTTTAGAACTCCAGTTTATTAAATTTTTACTAAAAGGAGAGAGCAGGACACATTCTTTCTATTCTTATTTGTTTTCTCCTCTTTCATTTACTCATTCATGTAACTCAACTAATATGATATGTGCTACTATGTGAAAGATGCAAATCTATACTTACCTTTGAACAGCTTATAGTTTAATTGTTAGAGACGGTCACATAAAAACATTAAAACACCATATATTATATTAGAACGGGGGTGTAAAATCCCACAGAAACAAAGAAGAAAATACCAGCTGGCAATGGGGGGTTGGAGTGAGCAAGAGGAGTTGGCAAATGTTCCACAGAGAGGCTGACATCTGAATTGTGTATAAGGGATGCTACAAATTTGCTTGTTGGAAAAATAGAGAATTCATATTCAGACAGAGGGAGCAGCATGCACAGAAGCACAGAGACCCACAAAACAGGGCCTATTTAAGTTTTAGATATATGACCTTAGTACAGAGGGGAGCAACACGAAAGAGAATGCTGGATTGAGGCCAGACCCTAAAGGGATTTAAAAAACAAAACATTTACCACAGAAATCAATCACTGGTCTTCCTTCATGTGTGGCATATCACAAAATATGATGATGCTAAACAGAAATCCCAAAGACAATGCTGGGGATGATAATTCCTTTGAAAGGCCTCCCAGGATGACATATACAACACAAGATTAAGACCATAAGATTCAGCTCTCTTGCAAGTGCACTCTTATTTGACTTGGTTAGTGAATATAATTTCCACAAGTTTGTTCCAAGATTACTTAATCAAAACCCAAAACTGATAAAAAAGACCTTCTTCCCCAACTTGAAAGAGTAAAATACCACTTTCAGAATTTCTATAAGACTAGTCTTTAATCAAAAGCAACAAGAAAGGGTCAAAGATAAAGAGATTATATAATTCCCACCTTGGAGAAGTATAAAGTGAGGCAGAAATTTACAAAAAGCTCTGCTCTAAGCCCACTCCAACCTTTTCTTTTGTAAGACACTTTCTCATAATCCCCAAACCTTGAGCTCTAAAGGGACAGTATGTGAAAAGTGGATCTTCAGATATATGTGTGTGTGTGCCCCAGCCGGTTTGGCTCAGTGGATAGAGCATCGGCCTACGGACTGAAGGGTCTTGGGTTCGATTTGGGTCAAGGGTACATGCCCGGGTTGTCGGCTTAATCCCCAGTAGGGGGGCGTGCAGGAAGCAGCCGATCAATGATTCTCATCATTGATGTTTCTATCTCTCTCTCCCTCTCCCTTCTTCTCTGAAATCAATAAAAAAAAAATATTTGGAAAAAAGAAAGATATATGTGTGTATGTGGTTCATTATTACTGACAATAGCCCAGTTTTCTATAATCTCATCCTAGCTTTCCAGTCACATGTAAGAGTTTACGATAACCTTATTGGAGAGGGGAGCCCTTAATTATCAGTAGACTGATGTCCACTAAATTGGCTTTCAATTCAACGTTCCCTCATCATTGGCAACCATGGAACTCATGTGCTAACTTCTCCTGATGCTGATCCAAGTGAAAGACAACTGAGACAGACTGACTCTACTCTTGGTAGTGTTATCAGCAAATGGAAAAGCAGATTCTCTCTCAGAACATTTCTGTGCTCTTGATCACAACAAAAGAACTCCATTAAAAATACTGCCATCTGAAACTGCTGAGTTTCAAGAAGTCTGAATTCATTCAATGAGAGTTCAGAGCCAAAGAAAAGCCAATGGGTCTCAGGCTGCACTAAAGAAAATCCAGAGTTTCAAATAATGATGAGAAATCTTTTCCAGGCCTATCCAGCCAGATACTCCAGCAAGACAGGATTGAATCCTCTCAAAAGCAATGATTCTCAATCTTGGCTGCATGTTAGAATCACCTGGAGAGCTTTAGAAAATCAAGATGCCTGGGTTCTGTCCCAGACTAACTGAATCCGGAATTTCTGGCATCACGATTTTTGAAAACGCCCCTGGTGACTGGGGATCCACAGTCAGTGTTAACGGCCACTGCTGCTTTTAAAGTCTTACTACTCAAAGTCAGCAATGGCTTCGCCTGGGAACTCAGAAGAAATGCAGAATCTCCGGCTCTGCTCCAAACCTACTATATCAAAATCTATATTTTAACAAGATCCTCATGTGGTTCATTAAGACAATCAAGTTTGAGAAACACTGCTCTACAAGAAGGGCTCAAACAACACAGGCCCTGTTTTGTAATAATCCATAAACCTCACACCTCCAAGTTTTTCTTTAAATGGTTATCTGATTTGACTATAATGTTAAAAATACCACTGTCTAATCTGGAGGCACTGAAGAATGAAAAGATGTAACTGGTAAATAAAAGAAAGTGACCTCAGCATTACATTACAGCTAATTGGAGGCTGAATCGTACGGAGTAAGTTAGGGGAGAATTAGATTTTTCTTTTTCAAGATTCAGCGTTGTTGCCTCCCCACCTACTCCCCAAAAGACAAACTTAGCTTTCTCTTGTCCACTTTCAAAGAGGTCTAGAGGAATAAAATCCAATGCCAAAAAGTCTGTGAATTATTATTTCCAGAGCTCTGTCGAGCAGAAAGATGGTATTTTACACAATCATTCTGGTGTGCAATCATTTAGGTATGATTTTTGACCAACTTCAGTTCCAGCTGGACACTACCTGGATTTACGCACAATTACAGAGTAAAGAGAGCATGATGGCCACCCTGAGAGGAAAGATAAATTGCTTTTGCAGAACTCAGACCAAATTGACTGGGGCCAGTATTTCTAATATATCATGTAATATATATCACCTAGCAAATTTCAATTCGTTGTTTTAGAATAATCTCTGTCCCAGTCTTAGAGACCACCGACAGCTTGTGAATACTCTCATACGTTTTATTTATGTTTGGATAGTCTGAACATATGGATATTTAAAAAATCTGTTAGACATGTTGAGATGTCAACCTAAGAGGCTCTGACATATCTGAGGAAGTCTGGTTATAAGTGCTAGTGAGTTCTGGATAGGCACAGACTAAATGCTAAAATATCTGACAACGTTACACAGGCAGAGAGATGCAGTCGGAGAAGCAGATACCTTCATGTGCCATAGAGAAAGGCAGATAAATGGATAAATAAAATGTAGCGAATATACATATATATGGAATATTATTTAGACTTAAGAAGGAAAGAAATCCAATTACATGCTAGAACATGGATGAATCATGAGAACATTATGCTAACTGAAATAAGCCAATCACAACAAGACAAATATTGTATGATCCCATGTATATGAGGCATTTAAGACTGGTGAAATTCATAGAAACAGAAAGTAGAATGGTGGTTACCAGGGGCTGGGGAGAGGAGGAAAGGGTAGTTGTTGTTTAATGGGTATAGACTTTCAGTTCTGCAAGATGAAAAAATCCTGGAGAGATGATCCACAGCAATGTAAATATATATTTAACACTACTGAACTATACATTTTTAAAAGGTTAAGATGGTAAATTTTGTTCTGTGTTTTTTTCCACAATTAAAAAAAAATCAAAGCCCAACAAAATACAGAAAAGTTAAGTGCTGAGTTTGAACCTCCAGAGTTTCTCTGGCCACCTGCCTGATTTTGGATTTCTGGTTCTGTGCTCAGCTGGAAAGTAGACTTGCTATACTGGCCTAATCCGACCACACTCTAGAAGGGCACTAGTTTTATACCAGGCGGACCCCAGCACTAAAACCTGATAAACTTAACCATGAGATTATCCCCTTAAAATATGAACAATAGACCCCAGTAATTATTTTATAATTTTATTTTTCCTCCCTTCTCTTTTATATCTAAGACAGTTTAGATAAAACCATCACCTTTAGACTGCAGAAGAGAAAGAGTGACTTTTCTGTGGAAAACCACATGTGAACACAGAGATCAGGAATAAATTATGCCTTTGTAAATGTGCTTGAGATTACACGTTTTAGTCTATGTTTTGGTTATTCATCTCATAACTCTTTAGACTCTTTAAAAGTTTCTCCTTCTTTCTTACCACTGTTAAATTCCGTATTTCTTCCATGACACGAGGCCAGAAGGACTGTAGATTTTGCTGGGCATCACTGCTGCTGGTACCACCAAATCCTCCTTCTGTGGACATTTTGACAACTGAAAACAAATACATACATGAGACACATTAAAAATAATAATAAGTCAGACTTTCTGTCCGTTATTTATATCTTTCCTTGTGGATGTTTACACTACTTCATTTAACTTTTCTTTTTCTAAATATATTTTTATTGATTTCAGGGAGGAAGGGAGAGGAAAAGAGAGATAGAAACATCAATGATGAGAATCACCGATTGGCTGTCTCCTGCATGCCCCGCATTGGGGATGGTGCCCGCAACCTGGGCATGTGCCCTGACCAGGAATCGAATCTTGACCTCCTGTTTCCTAGGTCAATGCTCAATCACTGAGCCATGCAGGCTGGACTCATTTAACTTTGCAACAATGGGGAATTAAATTTAGAATAGAAAGAAGAGGGTCAGAACCTACATTCAGTCAACTGCTTTTTGATGGGTTCAAAAGAAGATCAGTTAGGATCCCCACTTCAGCTATAACTGTAGATAATATTGTAATGCCTTAAAAGATTCCAGGGGGAAAGTAAAAAACTCCAGATGTCTTAAATGCTTACCCAGCAAATACTTAAATGCAAAAAACAGTTTAATCAAACACAAAGAACTAGAAACTTAGTGATGTCCTAAGAATTTCTATTCTGGGAAATTATTTGAAAAGGTTTAATAATGCCAGTGACTGGATGCTGGTGGAGAACTATACACTGAGTGGCCAGATTATTAGGACCGGCCAGATTATTATGACTACCCCATCAGTGCTTCATTGACACTTCCAAAAATACTGAATACTGAAAACTTCCTAAACAAATACTCTCAAGGTTTTTTTAAAATTATTATTATTATTATTTGTATAACTAATTCACTTAATTGTACTGATGGGGTGGTCATAATAATCTGGCCACTCAGTGTATAAATCATTAAGAACTAATTCTGAAGGGCTGAAAGAAGAGCACCAAACATGTTACTTTCCAGGGTCCATGTGGATACATGCTGGGCAGATCATTCCATCAGCAGAGTGGAATGAAGGCTGCTAAATCTAGGTTTAGTCTGTGAAGACATTTGATTCATTCAAATGTTTGAAATGTTCTAGAGGTATCTGATTTTTTCCTTTTCCTTCTAAAGAAAATGATAAAAGGAAAAAAATGGAAAGAAAACAAGAGTACAATCTTCAAAGCAGATTTCACTCCGATGTAATGACATTAGTGGGTGATGATGTAATGGGAAATGGCTTGGAGCCAATTTCTAGTGCTGGAGGCCTACAGAAGAAGCTCTATACATCAACAGGAACTCTAAGTACTAGGAAACAATATGATCTTAGAGTTTCGAGAGGGAATTAAGTGAAGAGTGTTGAATCACAGTTGGAAATGACTAGATAAAATCCTGAGTCCTAAATAACCAACTAAGGTCCTCAACTCAGCTTCCATTACATTTTCACTTATCACCATATGCGAATAACCTATTACACTATTCTCTTAGGTGTACTGAGAACAAAGATATCAAGATAATCTAGAGAAGTTTAATTATTTATTGTTATTAATAGAGTCTTACGAGATACTCATGACAATGAAAAAAGTGAGACTCACTAACCTTTTAAAATGGGGCAAATAAAAAAAAATCTTTCTGGAAATGAAAATAATTCCTTAAAATTTTAAAATAAGAATCTAACCTTTTATTGTATTGATCTATGGGCAGGCCTGATCTTAGCAAAATCTGCCATGCAAACTACTACAGTCACAATTGCCAGTGTGATATCTTGTATTCTTGCTAACGATGAATGGGTTTAGTTTGAGTGTAAAGGTTTGTGAGATTTAGAAAATTGGTGACAACTTTGTGATGTCCTCTGATCTCTCCCAACAATTGTTACAAAGGTGAACAATTCAAGAAACACTTTTAAAACCACCTGTGCACAGTCTGATATTAAATTCTGCATTACCCCTACTAAGGATGTCTTGGCGCAATCAATTCACAAACATATGGGCAGTCAATAGATTGCGAATGTCCTCGTTGGCTGGTTCAGAGCCTCACACTGTTGAAGTGGGGATTATGTACAAAATAGAAGTTAAATATTTCTGAAACTCAAAAATAAGTTAAAGGTTACGTTTTTAACTTGAGAAGCCCATCTGAATTAGATAAGCACAAAATACATCAATAAAAATGTCCTTTATATTTTAGTGTATCATAGAAGGTTAGGACTGAAAAAGACATTAAGAGCCACCCAGGCCCACCCCTCTAAAAATGCTCACAGCTCTACTTCAACCTCTGCCCAGCCCACTCAATCCCACCCTAAGTAGTCATTTAGTTTAAATATGAGCTTATCCCTCTCCAGTTCTGGGAAACTAGCTTACTGGTAAGGCATTCTGTTCAGCTTTCGACAGTTCTATTCTATACATTAAGTTGAATTTGCCAAGTTCCAATTGAGCTTTGGATTTAGAATTACAGCTTTTATGATTTTTCTATCCAAGAACCTCTTTTTATAAATTCCTGACTTTAAAGATACTCTCCTCATTAGAAACAGAAGATGCTATCCTGAAGAAAAAGACAAAAAAGTTTGGGGCATATTTTCTAGCATCTTTGCACAGAAATGATTAGTAGTTACTTCTTTTAATACCTATTGGAAGAACACAAATTGTTACTGTAAATTCCTAGAAAACGTGAGTACTTTGATTCCAAAGGCTTTCCTTAAAGCAGGTCCAGTTTTTACATGGGCCTTTAAAAAACAGACCAAATCTCAAGCAAAAGATTTTATGAAAACAAACTGAGGTTTTTAATATTTTCTGACCAAGGTAAAACTTAACATTAAAATAACAAAACTTGCCGAAAACGGTTTGGCTCAGTGGATAGAGCGTCGGCCTGCGGACTGAAGGGTCCCGGGTTCGATTCCGGTCAGGGGCATGTGCCTGGGTTGCAGGCACATCCCCAGTGGGAGATGTGCAGGAGGCGGCTGATCGATGTTTCTCTCTCATCGATGTTTCTGACTCTCTATCTCTCTCCCTTCCTCTCTGTGGAAAATCAATAAAATATATTTAAAAAATAAATAAAATAACAAAACTTAATCATAAACACAAACAGCTTTTGTTCACCAAGCATCCCAAAAAGTTAAAAAATATAAAGCAGGCTTAATCTTATCACTTATCTTTATAATTAATATATTAATTGCAACAAAACAGATTTTGTTGCAATTAGTGTATTTATAACATCTACAGCCCATGGAAAATATGCTAGGTTCATCTTCTAGGAAGATGAGAAAAAGTATGTATTTTAAAGTAAGAAAGAGATTTATATTCCACGACCCTTTTGATTCCATTTTTAAATTGCTATCTCTATGATGGGATAAAACTACTTATATATAGTTGACAAGGACAAAACTGCCCTAAGACCAAGCCACATTAACTTAGATCATTCTGATGAAAAATGCAGTATAGAATTTTCCAGATTTAATTCATTATTGATTGTAAATTTATCACTGTAGACCTATAATTCATGTTCATTAATTACTTCATAGGTACTTGAATAGACTCCCTAACTATTTAGTAAAGACTTCAGGATCAGATGAAATATTGAATGGTTGTTGCTAGATGCAATCTCAACTCCCAATACCTATTAATTTGTTTTTAAAAACTTTAAATTTATTTAAAGTCCTTTATAATATGCCTAAACCCACAAAAACAGTTTGCTTTTCAAAGCTAGAAAGGGAAGAATCAGAGTCCATCATGCAAAGGCTATTGCTCCAATGTTCAACTCAATCGCCATCTCTCCACAAGTCTTCTCTAAATACCCCCTCTGGAAGTGATTACTCCTTCTTATGAACCTAGAGCCCTTGATCAGTAATCTTTTTCTGCCCTCACCACATTAGCTTGTATGATCATTATTTATGTGTATGTCTTATCATTTCCTTTTCTGGTTTACAAGCTCCTTGTGGCTAGGACCTGATTCATTTCTGGATTCCTCAAAGCATCTAGCATGCAGTCTGATAATTATCCCAAATAAAAGGGCAAGAGAGTTGCTGGGTATGGCCTTTCTGAGAAAAAGAGGCCTCTTGGAAAGCTTGGCCCTGAAATAGACTTATTGGGAGTGTTTGAACAACCAAAGGAAGTGGTTATACAAAATAAACAAGGTTCCTGATGGGCCTTTAAAGTAAGGATTATAATCAGAAATCCACATAATTGGAAGGATACCGGGTCCAGACACACGGGTACTGAGACACACACACACACACACACACACACACACACACACACACACACAGTCGGTCCTGAACTTTGTAAGGCAGACTGGAAGGCAGAAAGCATGGCTGCCTACAATTCCCAAATATAAATTTTTTGAAAGTCAGAACCTTCTCAGAAAGGAGACCAGGATAACCAGGATATAGGATGGTGAAGGCCTGGGGTGGGGGACGGGGGCGGGCTGGAGGGGGTCAATGAGAGTAAACAGGGAACATATGTAATACTTTCAACAATAAAGAATTATTTAAAAAAAGAAAGAAAGGAGACCAGGACAGATTTATGATAATAGGTAAGTAGGAGGAGGGCAAATACCTGTTTGGCCACCCATTACCAGGACAATAAGGAGAAAACCATGGAGGAAATGAGATGATTCAATCAGATCACTCAGTGGTGGCCAATCTAGCTGTCATTTGAATATCCAGTTACTGTTCATCATTCTTGAAGAAAGAAAAAGAGACCTACGCAGTTTTCAAAATATCCCAGAAGTAGAGTGCTCCTCTTTTTTTATATATGTATTATATATTTTTATTGATTTCAGAGAGGAAGGGAGAGGGAAAGAGAGATAGAAAGAAACCTCAAGCCCTGGCCGGCTTGGCTCAGTGGATAGAGCGTCAGCCTGCGGACTGAAGGGTCCCGGTGTCCGATTCCGGCCAGGGGCGCATGCCTGGGTTGCGGGCTCGGTCCCCAGTTGGGGGCATGCAGGAGGCAGCCGATCAATGATTCTCTCTCATCACTGATGTTTCTATCTCTCTCTCCTTCTCCCTTCCTCTCTGAAACCAATAAAGAAATGTATTTAAAAAAAAAAAAAAAG